CATCTATACCCGTTTACTTTATGAACAATGGTTGCTGTCTTCACTAGGTTTAGAGAATAAGGTAGAAAGAATTGGCGTGTGGTAAGTTTAAGTTTTTCAATGTTAAGCTTTAAAAATATTATTTGACAGCTAGTTGATGTATGCAGTCGTGGCCGAGCGGTTAAGGCGTCTGACTAGAAATCAGATTCCCTCTGGGAGCGTAGGTTCGAATCCTACCGACTGCGAAACTGGAAATCGTAAAGTTCTTTTTACATATTTTTTTGGATATATTGAATTTCAAAAAAGTAAATTTTTTTTATAAAATTCAAAACGAAAATTAAAATTCCGTAGTGCGATTCTCTAACTCAAAAATCGGTAACTTTGAATTTTGAAATAAAAATTAAGTTAAGGTCGACAACATAGGTATTTATCGTTAGGTCTTGGCGACTAATTTGATTTCGTCACTAACTTACCAACAAATTTCTTTAATTATCGAAATTATAAGCATTTTAATTTTACCGACATTTGTCGAGAACTCAAAAAATGAGTTAGGGAATTCCACTACTTAGCATCGTAAGGTAAGCCTTTCAACCCAGTTGACATGAATTTTACCATTATTTAAATTTACAGACCTCAACATAACAATTAAAAGTTTTTATGGGAGAATTCAATCATACAAGCTATGATTATAATTATAATTTAAAGATCAATAGACTAAATATGCCGAAGCATTTGTATCTTTTAAATTCGGACATGTGTTGCTCATTTGGTGCACAAATAATTTAAAATCGGATAAAAATATATATGGGAGCTATATCCAAATCTGAACCGATCTCGATATAATTCGGCAAAGATATTTGTGAGCTGTATTTAATATATTTCCTTGAATATCGTTGTTACGGAGTGCATATTACGGTTGTGAGTAACAAATATAACAAATCGAATGAACAATATATATGGAAGATATAGCTATATCTGAACCGATCTTCACCAAATTTGACACACTAGCTTCTAGACTCAATTCGGTCGTAAGTGCCAAATTCCGTCCCATTTAGACAAATATTAGACGTTTGGTGCACAATAAAAGGTAAATCGGACGAAGTTATATATGGGAGCTATATCCAAATCTGAACCGATCTCGATAAAATTTAGCAAAGATATTTCTGAGCTGTATTTGATATATTTCCCCAAATATTGTTGTTACAGAGTGCATATTACAGCTGCGGAGGAAAATATAACCAATCGGATGAACAATATATATGGGAGCTATAGCTATATCTGAACCGATTTCGATGAAATTTGGCATACTTATTTTTAGGCCTAATTTGGGTGTATATGCAAAATTCCATACTATTCGGACTGATATTACACGTTTGGTGCACAATAAAAGGCAAATCGGACGAAGATATATATGGGAGCTATATCTAAATTTTTACCGATTATCACCAATTTCAATAGGGTTCGTCCTTGGACCAAGCAAATGATCTGTGCTAATTTTCATCTGGATCGGGCAATAAATGCGACCTGTACTTTGTTTACAAAAATACATGGACAGACGGACAGACGGACGGACGGACATGCATAAATCGACTCAGAATGCGATTCTATGCAGATCATCAAAAGGAACTATTGGTCTATCTCGTTTCCTTTTGCCTGTTACAAACAAATGCACAAATACATAATACCCTGACCACCTTGTGGTGTGGGGTATAAAAATGTTCAATCACGAACTGACCTTAACTCCCAAATATATGTTATACATAGAACGACTTCCTGCAAGTTCACTATATATTTAATAGTTGCTTGACCATCAACTTAATTTTAGCGAACACCACTGCCTGGAATACTGCAGTTTTTCCCAATTCTACCCAATAGAACAAAAAAAAAAGACATAGAGTCTGAGGAACTCCGGGAAAGCATTCGCTCGACCCAGCCTTCAACGTCAGGTAATGCCTCAGACTCCGAATCTGACAGCAGCAGCAACAATATTACCGTTTTGCGAATCCCAAAAAAGGAGGAGACGCACAAAATTATAGAGGAAGAGAGGGACAGCTGGGCGAAGCTCACAACTCAACGGCGAATCAGTCCAAATGATCTGAATTTTGGCTCATCCAACCGAATTTAGTCTAGAAACAAGTACATCAAATGGAGCTCGGAAATATCCCTGCCAAATTTCATCAAGATCGGTTCAGATTTGGACATAGGTATATCTTCAAGCTATTTTGGGTTAATTGTGCACCGAATGGCCAATATCAGACCAATAGTCCTGCATTTTGCGATATCCAACCGAATTCAGTCTAGAAGCAAAAACATCAAATTTGGAGAAAATCGGTTCAGATATAGCTATAGCTCCCACGTATATATTTCATCCGATTTGGTGTTTAAATCCCTCATATTCGTAATAAGCATTCGACAACAATGATATTTGGTTCCAGATATCTTATAGAGCTCGGAAATACCTTTGCCAAATTTTATCGAGATCGGTTAAGAATTGGATATATCATATCCATATCCATATATATCCTTAATCCGATTTCCGGTTTATTGTGCAAATAATGGTTAATGTCAGCCTAAAGGGAGTGAATTTCGGGACGTACATTTCCATTTTGTGGAACTCGGCTCCGATATATATTTTTTTTAATATAATCCTTCTCGAAGTGATATCATGCAGTCTATAGCAATGTTATTTAGTATAAAATGTTAAAATCTCTGTCAAATTTAGTGAAAATTGGATATTGAATTGAAATTAGAATTGGATATGCCTACCTCCCTCTGAAACCAAACTATAACTGCTCTAACGCCAAATGTTGATGGGTGGTATGATCTGCTTAAAATAAATTCTTTTGTTACGGGAGCTCTACTAAATATGCATAGTGGTATAGGATGTCATATAGTCGGCCCCGCCCGACTTTTGATTCTTCCTTACTGTTTAATATCTATGAATTGACTTTTGATATATTCGTTGGGCCTACCAGTAAGATTTTATGACATATTATTTTGTAGAATACTGTGACTTGTTACGATGATCTCGTTTGAGGAAAGGTGTTAACCATTTTTTAAAAAAAGGACCGATTGGAATATGTCCCACATTGAAAGCGAGATTTTGGCCTGTTTTCTTTTCAGGGACAAAATATATAACAAGACATCTTCCGTATAAAAATTACAAAAAAACAAAAAAACATTGTTGTTGTAATAAATAAGTGTTTTTTCAATTTTATTAAATTTATTGTTTTTTGCTTTTGTTTGTTAAGTTTTAACATACAAATAAATACATACAACATTTAGTAATACATTTCATACACAAATATTGTTGTTGTTGGTTTTTGAATTTGTTTTCTCTTTGAGTTTTCTGTCACATTCATTGATACATGTATAAGTTATTAACTTAAATTCAGTTTTTATTTGTTACATAATTTTAGTTGCTTATATTTATTTATAAATTGTATAACTCACACTTACAAAAAAGACACACCATAAGATTGTTTGGGTGTGTGTCTGGATCGACCAAAATAAGTTGGGTTTTAAAAAAAGTAGCGATTATTTTTTAATTTGTTAAATACTAAGCGTCTTTTATGTATTAAAGGCAACTGATTTTGAATAAATAATAAAAACTGAAAAACAAGGCAATATAAACCAATATCATACTATTCTGGTCGGAATATGGATATTTTCTGCTTGATTTTATTTTTTTTTTTCACAACAAAAATCATATTTGGTATATATATAATTTGTAAAAAAAATTAAAACAGAGCATAAAATTTTATTCACACAAATGGCCTAGCCAAAAATTTTCACTCAAATACGAGACTGATTTTCAATGTAGTTATATCATGAACACAGATACAATAGTTGTAATTTTCGATTACTTTCTTATATTAGTATTAGAAAAAATATAATAAAACGGAAAAAAGGCTAATGGATGGGAAATGTTCAGTTCCTTATAGAATCAATGTTAATTAAAGTCCAACGAAGTTGAGATTTGAGTCCTACACCATCAAAACTGTGACACTTTTAGAATATGGAAAGGTTATGAATGAAACAGCTCAATGAGGCTGGCTAAAGGGTTTCAAAAAAGGAACCCAAGAAGAACAGACTGGGGCAAATTCAAATCCCTTAAGTCAGTGTTGAAAAAGGACCCCCGCTGTCTGAAATCAACCTGCGTTAATAGGGCCTCATTTCACTCTATTCATGTAGGTATAACAGGATCTCTCAAGAACACTACCCAATCTGCAATGAAGTTTCTGAAAATTTCCAGCCACTGGATATTCTAGGTCCATTTTGAGCTGCAAGGAGTTTGCTGAAAGTACGGGTAGGATGGCACTCCTAGCGAGTTGGTCATACTCGAATCCTAGACATATCAATAAGTTGGAATATCCCAGGTGAAGGTAATACAATTAGTGATTACATGTCTGCCTTTTTCGACTTCAATTATGTTGACATTAAGATAAATGATAGGGACGCCTGGGCTAAACCTCCTCTTAACTGCCTTGCCAGCTCCAATATGGATGAAGCCACCGGTGCTGGCGTATTCTGCCCCAACACAATGATCGAACGCTCATAAAAAGAAACTGGCAGTGTTTCACTTTCAAGCGGAGATTCTTTCAATCAAGAAGACAGACAGGCTATGCAATAGCATAACAGGAGCAGAGACTATATATGTCGATAGTCAGGCTGGCGGCCCATAAAGCTATCGAATCAAGTGCCTTTTAATCAAGAACCACTCTTCACTACAAGAAGGTCCTGATTGATATACGTAATTGCAGTAAGCTTTGTTTGGGTTTCTAGGCATAACAAAATAGTGGGTTATGAGGTGGCTGATGAAGTATTCAAGGAGGTTTCTAGTCGATCGATGAGACTGTTAAGCCACCAAAATCTCTCATCGAAGAAAATGGACTTAGAAACCGAATTAGATTATCTAAGGCCATCTGTTCGGCAATCTCGAGAAGAAGAACAAACTTCCTTCTATCATTTAGTAGGTCTGATCTAAGAATCACGGTAGGAATATTGACTGGCCACTGCAGTATCAGACATCTTACCTCAAGATGAGACAACAATATTCCCGACTACACTTAACTTCGCATAAATAACAAATCGGATGCAGTATACATGGGAGCTACAGCTATGTCTTAACCGATTTCGATCAAATTTTGAATACTTATTTCCGGGCTTAATTTGATCGTATGTGCAAAATTCCATACTAGTTACACGTTTGACGGGAGCTATACCTAAATTTTGACCGATTATCTCCAATTTCAATAAGGTTCGTCCTTTGGTCAAACAACTGACTTGTGCAAAATTTCATCTGGATCGGGCAATCAACGCGACCTGTACTTTGTTTACAAATAGACATGGACAGACAGACGGAGGAACATGGATAAATCGACTCAGAATGTGAATCTATGCAGATCATCAAAAGGAACTATGGGTCTATCTTGTTTTCTTTTGCCTGTTACAAACAAATGCACAAAGACATAATAACCAGAGCACCTTGTGGTGTAGAGTATAAAAAATAACGTGGGAGCTTCATGATCCTAAAAACCAATTAAAAGGTAATGTAGATTATTGGTTAAAAAGTAGAAAAAAAGTAAAAAAACTTATTTTCCTCATCACCAAGTAATGCAATTTACAAAAAATATCTCTACTTTGTTCTATCAAAAATGTGTGGCATTAGGTAGAGATTTTTCGCTAGACTGTTTGGAATACAAATATAGACAATAATATTATATGAATAAGATGCAGAGTCTACCAAGGAACCCGTTTTAAGCAACAATCCATAACTTTTGACTACATTTTTCTTGGCAAAGCTCTTTCTTACATAACTACAATAGCCACTTAGCAGACAAAGAAAGGATGCCATATTTTAGTGGCGAAACTCAGTCCATATAGTGTGTTGCCCAAAAAAAAATTTTCACATGAAACTTTCCGATTCTCTTTCCCACTCATATGGTCAAAGGCATATAATAAGTTGGCATTATTGGTTTGGGCCATTTCGAAACGACTTAATTAAATTCTAGTTATTTTATGTTGTTATCTTAAACATCTTACAAAAAAGTACAAAAACTTTATAATTAATTATATATATTTTTTGTATTAATAATAATAATAATAAATATATGACGTTATAATTATAATTGTAAAAAAAGTAACACAAAATACCCCCAACAAAAAAGTTGTTGCTTGTACCAAAAAAAAAAATAAAATTATTGTTAAAGAAATGCTAGTATTTTTATTTTGTTTTTGTAAAATATAAAAAAATTGTAATAAATACATTTTGTTTTTATGCGACAAAACGGCAATTATTGCATATTATTATTTTCATTAATTTTTATTTTGTTGTATACTATAAAAAGGGATTGTATTGTGTTGTTTTATTTTGTAAACATTTCAAAAAATTTTGTGTATATTTTGTTTGTAGCTTTTGTATGGCTTTTTAATCAAATTTTCTTGTTACAGACTCCACTTATTTCAAACAACAACTGTTTATAGGTGAATTTGGTGTGTTTATTTGTTTTTTGTTCGCATATTGGGTTTTTGTAGCTTAGACATATAAGTTTATGTTATTGTGGAACAGTTACCCAGAAAAGTCTACATACAATTCAATGGGAATATTTTTAAAGGGGTAATAGTTTATTCATATCAAGAGAGTTTTTTGTATTAGCCTCTATTTGTAGAGAAGAAACGGGAAAGAGATTGAAAAGATAATTGAAATATTTAAATATTTAATATTTATTATATTTAATAATAATTGATAATTGAAAACCTAAAATAACAATCACTAATAAAAGGTCTGTAAATTACACAAAATCCGGAAAGCAAAATTACAGCGAACTAACGAAACAACTTATTGAGAATTCAAGTAACAAATTTGAGGAAAATGATTGAAATTGGAACTATCAATTCCAAATCAAGCACTCTGTATCGCCTTTGTGGCCAGATTGTGAAACATGAATAAAATCGATCAAAAAATAATAGGTAAATCTTCAAAATACTTGTAACTGGACGGTATCTTTATATGGGATTTATACCAAAATATGAAAGAATACTAAGAATTATAGTTCTAAATTTCATCATTCTAAATGTGTCAAGGTGTGACAGCTTGAAAAAATCTGAATTTTACAAAGATTGAAGTCAGCAAAGCACAAATTGTTTCCATTCCATTTCCTAAAGAGACCAGCCCGCATTCGTTTCCTCTTGCTAGCCCCCATTTTATTATCTTTTACAAAATGTGGCTTAATCATTTGAATAATATTTCAATTCAGGTGGATAAACTTGATGATAACTTGTGGTTACAAAATTGTAGGTTCGTCTCACAATAGTTTTGCTTTCGAATTAATTATTTTACTTTTCTATTGTTGTTTTCTTCAGTTCGTCGAAGAAACTTTAAATGGCGTAAATTAAAACAGGTATAATTTAACAAATATTCTATCAAAATTATTAAATTGTTTGACGTTATATCCATATTTCAAATTTGCAGACTTTTCTGGAACACTGTTCACATTATTACAACATTTTCAGGACAATCAAGAATGCTATTCGTTCAAACATAAGGTTTTTAGGAACAGAAACTCCTTCATAAGTTGTTTATTCTTGATTGCCCTCATATTTTTCGCTTGGGTTTCTTAGCCCATTGGCTGCTCTTCCAATTAAGTATTGAAAGCCTTTTTGTTTTTTATAATTTTTTGTATCAAATTTGATTTTGTTTTTACTTTTCTTCTTCTCTGAATACAATACTCTTCTCCTGCTAATAGCACAAAATTTATTATCGTTTAGTATATATATCCTATAAATTTGTAATTTTAAATATCATAATTATTATTATTATAATTGTGGTAAAAAATAAACTAAATACTAATGTTCTTTTTTATCTCTCGCACATGTCTTCATCTGGATTTTTATAACTTCTTTATCGCTCGTTCTCTGGCAAAAGTGTTCTTTATAACATTTTTTTAGAAAAAATATAAATAAAGCTACATAATTTTGTTTTTGAGAGGGGGAGGGCGGGGGCAATGTCTGTCAGAATGATTGTGGCGTGGTGGAGGAGGAGGGACAAATGTGTGTGTATGTTGATTATATTGTATATAAACGATGCCGGCATTTTGTATAAGCTCATATTTATATTGTTGAGATCGTTTGTTTTGTGGGATCTGTGTGGGTCATAACCAAAGCTCCGACCATTGCTATTAGAGTACGATCTAGCCAAGTTACGGGATTTGGATAAATAAGGCCGCCTTCATAGAAACCTAAATGACCGCCATGTGCTAATTCGATGTAGGCGGTTTTATAGCGAGAAGCTGAAAGAAAGAAAAAAGAGATTATTGTCATTGGTATGTAAGGTTAAGAGTAAGACATAAAATAAAACCAAATACATGTTCTGGGTCTCCTGAAGTCATGATTCCATTTCATGAATTTTTAAACTCATCTCCGACAGAAATAAACAAAAAGTTTCGTTAGGCTCTTTCAAATCATTCAAACCAACTAGACCATGGGCAAACAGGATCTTCGAAGACTATCTATGTGGACAAAATGCAGTGTTGTAAGTGTAGCCCATATAAAACAGAATTGAAGATTTTCATTTCAGAAAAACTTTGGCTACTGCTTAACAGAGTAATTAATTTTTTATCCGTATGTTGATGGAGAACCCGATTAGCAGATTTAAAACCTTACACTACGTTACTGCTGCAACAATAACATGGACCTCCCTTCCACAAACATGTATACTTAACCATATTGTCACCCGGTCTGATAAATGACGTGACTTGGCAATCCGTCATTTCTCATCAAAACTGCAGCCTCTCGCTATATACCAGCTGGTCGAATACCCGAGATAAGACCAAACTTCCCAGCAGAGGCAGCGGGATTAGCAAACGAGCGTGATGATCTCCGTCGTACCAACCCTACTGATCCTAGAATTAGTGATTTGACAGTGGAAGTCAACCGGTTGGTACAGGAGCATAAGAAGAAAATGTAGCTAGTGGCAACATTGCAACCGATATGAGTAACTTGTGGGTAACGGTTAAGTCGCTCTCGAACCCTGGAAAAAAGGATGATAGGACCTCAGTCACTTTTAACGACGTAACGGTGACTGATCCGAAGAGGTGCGTGGAGTATTTTAACCGACAATTTGGCGAGCACCACGAGAGCGACAGGGCGAAGCGAAGAGAACTACGTCGTATCACCTCTCTTCCCTCCGAGGAGGAACCACTACAGTTTACGATGGATAATGTTGCAAATGTCATACGGAACACTAAGACATCCAAAACGTTGGGCCCAGACGGAATCTCAATGGTAATGTTGAAGCAACTGAATACACCGGGAGTTGAGTATCTATCAAAAGTCCTAAACGTGTCGCTAGCCACCCACATAATTCCCGAAGCCTTGAAAATGGACGGGTGGTCCCGCCACTGAAGCCAAGCAAGGAAGCCAACGAATGCGAATCATACTGGCCAATTTCGCTTTTGTCGACAGTAACAAAGACTCTCGAAGCTTCATTCCTCTCCTACATGAGAGGAAGTTATTCAGTTGGACGGTTTCCGTCCACTACATAGTACCACAACCGCATTGTACGTCATATCCACACATATCAACTCACCCAGAACAGGCCGTGCCATAGAACAATAGTAATGGCTCTTGATCTATCAAAGGCCTTTGATACGGTCAACCATGCCACGCTGTTGGAGGACGTTGAGAATACTACCCTCCGGCCATGCTTGAAACGTTGGATAGTCAACTATATGTGTGGACGCCAGTCCTACGTGGAATTCCGGAACAAGAAGAACAAGAAAAGTAGGAACAAGCTCCTCAAGGCCCTAGCCGGCAGCGCTTGTGGCGCGGATAAGGAAACCTTGTTGACCTCTTATAAAACGATAGTTCGGTCTGTGGTTAGCTATGAGGCTCCAGTGTGGTCTGTGGGCGAATACGAGTGCAACGCAGTGGAAAAGTATTCAGACCTGCCAGAATGCCGCCCTGAGAACTGCAACAGGGTGCCTCCTCATGACTCCTGTGAACCATTTACATGAGGAGAGTCATCCTAACCACCATATGGTAGAAAGAACTCCCCCCACCCTGGCGTATCAGGAAGGACCTGCATAATCTACAGAGAGAGGTGCAGCGATATAAGAGTGAATAGGTGTGAATAGCATTGATGCATTCGCAGATGTAGTTAACAATTACAGTATGAATACCATACTCGGATTCCACCCAGCCCATAAAGGTAGTAAAATTCCTAAACCTGGACGTCGAAGAACAACCGGATTAACAGTCTACAAACAAATGTATGCTCATTTCACTGTTACAACAACAGATCTTAATCAATTAGGCGCTAGCCCACATTTCCCCATACTTCGTTGTTGTTTTCAATAAAAATTTAAAAATATTATCTTTTCTCGCAGTCGGTAGGATTCGAACCTACGCTCCCAGAGGGAATCTGATTTCTAGTCAGACGCCTTAACCGCTCGGCCACGACTGCATGTCGATGCTCCATTGTAATTGTATGCCGTGAGAGCGAAGCACAAATAATGTCTGCTTAAAATATCAAACACAAATATAATTGCATATTTTTAGGCGCCATAAAAACTTTGATGTCAAATGGAATCAATATGACCATTTTTTAATAAACTTATTGTGGTATTTCAAAATTCCTATCTGACTTAATGATGTAACAGTTACCCATAGCAATAAAAAAGTAATTTTAAGGAGCCTAAAAAAGGGTCTAAAAGTAGTAGTCAAATTTAAGACTCTAAAAATTAAAAATTCTTTTGTTAAACAACAATGCGTATCGAACGATTAGCACGCAAATTGCACTATCAATGTAATTTTAAAAATGCATGTAATACTCCCAAGATCGTTTACGATAACTGCGGTACATTAGTATAATTCGTAGAAATTTCTATCCAACTCTAATAGCATTGTGGGCATTTAATTTGAAAATCAAATATTTATTCAAAAACAATAACGGCAAATTAGCAAAACAAATTGTTTTGCTCTCTTAACTTTTATTTGAATGTTAAACAAACAATTTAAAAATTGGGAAATTGTTTATATGAATCATGGGTTGTAAAAGATCATAATTATATGCTTAATTTGAAGAAGGGTATCGGAAAGAATATATGATATATGATTGATAGATGTAAGTAGAACTTTAACTTTACTGAAAATGAGACAGAGGATTTACAGTTAGGGCACTCGGCTTCTATTCCATAAAACCAGAATGGTAATCTAAATATTCAAGGAACCGATTACAGGTTAGTTTGGAAGTTTGTGTTCAGGGGAAATAAAGTAGGGAATGAGGTGGCTGATTAATAAGCTCGAGGCAGATTGATATACCATTTGATGAGACTGTTAAACGTTAATAAGCTAATACGTTAGCTGCTTAAAAAAAGAAAGGAAGAAGATGGCACTTGGAAACCGGTTGCAGGGTATCTAAGGTCATCTGGCCGATAATCTTGAGAAGAACAAGCTTCCGTCTATCACTTAGTAGCTTTGATCTAAGAAACGTGGTGGGCATACTGACTGGTCACTGCAGTATAAGATATCTGATCTCAAAATGAAACAATAGGATGAACAGGGTGAGATGAAAAAACTGCAACCAACTTCAGACTGCTGTCATTTCGAAGCCACTCGTCCGACAGCTGTTAAAACTATTCCAGTGACAGCTCATTTTATTTTTTACAAGCGTACAAAAGCATTTTGGTAAGAATTTTCCAGAAAAAAAGATGTCCGTCATGATAAATTTAAATTTAATTGGCAAAGACACAAACCAAGGGGATTTTTTCTCCGGTTCGCAAAGGGTTAATAAAGAGAAAGAGAGAGAGGGAGAGATAGAGAGAGGGAGTAGTAAACCAGAGAAAACCCTTCATATGTGCCCAGACTTGACACTGCTTCATTTTTAAATATTTTATTCTCGGTTTAAAAGTAGAGTTAAAGGTTTCAAAGTTTTTCAACGTAAATTTTAATTAGGTTTACGGAAAATTAGGAAATTTGATGAAAACTAATATAATTTAATTTACCTTTAATTTTTCTCTGGTTTACTACTCCCAATCTCTCTTTCTCTCTTTCTCTCTCTCTCTCTTTATTAATACTTTGCGAACCGGAGAAAAAAATCGCCTTGGTTTGTGTCTTTGCTAATTAAATTTAAATTTATCTTGACGGACATGAAAAAAAGTTATTCGTGATGGAATTCAAGCGTGATAGTGTGATTTCTTTATATTTAGCTGGAAAACCACAAGTGGCTATCGTTAGAGCACTCCAGCATTTAAATGGGAATAAATCTTGTGTCTCGTAACATCGCTCGTTACCCTGATACTGGTAGCGAAGCCCGACGTCAAGGAAGTGAAACACAGCAACATCAGCATAAATGGATCGAAAAATAAAGAAGCGACTAGATCGAAACCCGCATCGTAGTCTCAAAAGATTTGCTTCGCTTGGCTGAAAGTGGTGAACTGCCGAATTTGGTTTTTTCCGATGAGAAAACATTCGTTGTCCAGTAGTTTGTAAACAACTAAAATGACCGTGTTAACCTGCCAAAGAGGTCAGCTGAAAATGTGCACATTCGGTTGGCCACCAGAACTCAAGCGCCGGCAATGGTTATGGTGTGAGCCGCCATTACATCAGAATAAATGCCGAATATTATCGCGAAAATAATCTGGAGGGTGTATTAAAGCCTTGGGCACGCAAACATTTTGGCCGCAGACCTTGGACATTCCAACAGGACTCAGCACCATCTCACTCAGGACGCGCCACCCAAGAATGCTAACAAACTGAGGTTCCTCGCTTCATTTCCAGCGAACAATGGCCACCAAAATCTCCGGATACCAATCCGTTGGACTATTGTGTCTGGAGTATTGTGGAAAGCAAGGTTGGCACTACAAAGTACCAATGTGTCGATCACCTCAAGCAAGCGCTTCGCCGGGAATGGGCCAAAATGCCGCAGAGCAACATTGGGGCAGCGTGTGACGGTTTCATTGACGGTTTCGTGCCAAAGGTGACCAATTCGAACAAATCTAAACGTATCCTAAAATTTGATATTATTTCCGACATTTTTGCTTTCATTCAATAAAATTAAAAAAATGTAAAAATTATGGCGTTTGACTTTGTTGCAGTTTTTTATCTCACCCTGTGCAATGGATGAACAAAGCAAACCTTGTGTTCACGGGCACAACCACAACTACCAACTGAGGGGCAAAATTCCCGAATATGACACATGATAAAGACGAGAAGAAAACCTAGCAATTTGAGAAACTGAAACCACCATTTATACATATTTTTAATAAATATACATAAATTCCATCCGCCTCTAAACATCCAATACTTCAAAAAAGAATAGAGGACGAAACCTTAAAATTTAACAGGAGTATGTGATTCCGATTTTTGGGATTCTTAAATATTTTCTATTTATGTTTTGTTTGTACTTACCAGCATATTCTTTAATGGGCTCCAACAGTTCTTCAGGTACTATAGGATCATCTTTGGCGTTTATGAAAATCATTGGTTTGTCAATATTATCTAAATAATTTAATGATGAACTCCATTTGTATAATTCCTGAGTTGATGGGAAATTAAAAACACGTCTGGTATAAGCCTCATCCAATTCGGGTAGTGTTGCAGCGGCAATGATGTCACGTTCTACTAAATTATGACGCTGACGGCATTCCTCCGATAACAGTACATGGCGATGTTTTAAAATTATATTTTTCATATTTTCGGTCATAACATATAAATAGAAACGGCGGAAATTTTGCCAATTCAATAGCCATTTTGTGCCTCTGCAATGGAGAGAAAGAATATGAATAAATTATATGGGGGATTTGTATTAAGTGTTTTTGCAAACATTAAGCCTCTGAAAATATTTGTTTCTTTTTTTTCGATTTTGGAAATTTAAGTGTGATTAACATTGTCAATATGAATTGCTATCCTACATACGTGATATACGTTGTTATATCATAATGAATATTTTCAATATCCAAAATGTAGCAAATAATCTAGATTTCGATTTAAAAAATGGACACTAATTTATCTCTAGTGGCTTAGTAGTTTAATATGTAGTAAATGGAATAAATCAGTAATACTTACTCGACAGCATTGTAACCTTGGCAAATGGAAATACCGCCAACAACATTTGATGGCTTAACTCTTTGCTTTTCGCCCAAATACTTCGTTACTAAATTGCCACCAAGACTAAAGCCACAGGCAACAATATGTGAATTTGAATATTTTTGTGATAGATTTTCAACCATGGTAGCAAAGTCATCGGTATGTCCTGGGAAAAACAACAATAGAACACATTAAAAACAAGGTAAAATGTTATTGGACAAAGTAAAACGTGGCTACAACGACCATTGAATGCAACAATGAAAAATGTTGTATCTCCAATTGCAATCGAGTTCACCATAGCCATGTTCCATTGTATATTCATTTCCAACTTACCATATGCGAATATTCTACTCGATGTAACCTGTACACTGCTCAAGGCCCCTATGTGGTTAAGTACCGCACATCGGTATCCATGGCACTGTGCATAATGGACAAATGTGCGTATGTAAACACTCTCCGAGGTATTACCAATGCCAGGACAAATAGCCACAGTGATGTCATCTATAAAACAAAGCAAATGGATTATTTTTACAATAGCATTGAGATTATTTATTATTATTTTATGAGAATTTTATGTAAATCGTAGCAGTTTGTAAAGCAATGTACTACAACACAGAGATTTGTCAGAAAGTAAAATTATGAAAATGGCAACATTTAATGGATTATAATGACTAATTGTGTTATTGAAGCTTTTCTAATTCAATGACAATATAAAGCTAATGAATATTAAAATCGGACTTCTAAAAATTGAAACCGAAAAAAAGAGTCTTGAGCTCATACACAGTCGGTTTTAAACCATGTCCATGGTCCATTGAAATGTAAATGACAGGTACGTTGCGAAAAGACCTTTGAGCTCTATCTCTCTCTCACCGTAAAAGAAATGAAACTGTCGACCTACTTACTTTAAATAGTACTTAGTAATGCTGCATGTTCATGGGATAGTGAGACTAATGTTTTAATGTAATGGAGGGAAGTATACCTCAACGGAAAATATTTCACTATAGAAGGTATGAAATTAACCAACGCAGGGCCTTTATATAATGTCAAAGACTTGAAAACCAGACATATAGGACTTTTCAAGTGTCAAAGGCCTGTATTGGAATAGAGCCGGCACCCATAAGGGAAACGTAGGAGTTTTGAGAAAAAGAGGTTTTGTTTTTGTTGTTGTTGTAACAACAATACATTCTTCGTGTTCTGTTAATCAGGTTCTTCCCCCAACTAGAAATTTAAAATTTCCGTTGTCTTCATAGAATGTAAGTCTTGTAACGCCGGAGCTCATCACGCTCATTTCTTAGTCCCACTGCTTCTATTGGAAAATTTTGTCTTATTTCATCTATTCCAACAGCAGTTATATAACGAGTGGCTGAAGCTCTAATTATGTCATGGAAAATCTCTTTTGCTACCCGAACATCAGAAGGATTGGAAGGTTGGTAAATTCTCTGGATGGTGAACTCTCTGAATTATGACCAGTGATCTCTGGAGAGTGCAGCGTTCAGAGGTTATGAAATCGGGCCATCTTCTTATGAAGACGATTATTAGGATATTTTCTGAGCCAAGGGAAACTCACCTCTTGTTCGGATGGGAGCATCCTCGTTTACCGTGCATCATGTGGAACAATCAATCTGTTCTACCACATTAAGCACCTCTACCTCGGCAGTTCCACACTTGACTCCTACTTCCATACGTTCCATGTATGGGTCACTAGAGACTAGTTCCAGCGAGATAAATCTGTAATGAACAGAATGGTGTGGCAGGAACACTTATCCCTCAATACATTGTAACCCTATCGCCTGGTTGCGAGCCAGGCTAGACCGGAACATGTATAAGTTGGCAGTCGCTGACCAAAACTGAGATGTTGTTGTTTCGTGTCAATACGGTGTCGTAGAAACCGCTGCCGTGGGGTTGGGCTGATGTATAAGCTTGGAGTGGTTCCTTCAGAGTAGTTCGATGGATTTACAGATTGATGAGACTGTCAAACCACCGAAGACACTGTCAGAAGATGACACTTGGAAATCGGTCGAAAGGTATCCAAGGCCATCTGGTAGTTATATTGACTGACCACTGAAGTATCAGATATCTGTTGACTATGTGAGGATGAACAAGAGGTAGAGAAGATTGAACACCGCGTTGTAAAATTGGAAACAAAGGCTATTTGGTAGGTGGGGCATAGAAACTCTTACAGATCTTACCACTAACACACCCTACGAAAACACCTCTACAAACCTTTCTTTTTTCTAACCATCTCTAATTATTATTCCTAGGATGAACACAATAGACAGCCTCTGAATGAGGCAGCTGTTGATTTCTGTGACTCTGCGACCCTCAAATCAATTGGATATAAGAATGCTGCTAAATCGACAGGTCGATGAAAAAATTCGTCATATCACTCATTTACAAAGAGGGTCATAATTCCAAAAACTCAATTTAGAAAAAAACTTTGTAAAATCGGTAACTTTGAAACCCAAAAATTTGATATAAAAAATAAGGTAAAGTTGACAACATTGGTATCTATCGGTAGGTGTTAGCGACTACGACTAGCCACGAAATCTAGGCTAATTTACGGATAAATTTCGTTAATTACCGAAATTATATATTTAAGTTCTGTATTAACTCATATACGTTTTTTTTAATGAGCAACATATTATGCCTTTTAAATATACATTTTCTTCCAACGACCTTTGAAGCGTTTTCCAGAATACTTTTCCAATCCATTTCGTTCGTCTCTACTATGCAAACATAATTATGGGAATTGTTTCACATTTTGTGTCCTATTTCACATTTTGTATTGTTATTCTTACCTTCAAATTCTTTTAGCGGTTGATACAAATCGTATGTCAACGTTGAACCATCCTCCAGGGATAGGTAGACACGTTCACCCAAAGGCCATGGACATTTGACACGTCCCACTATGCTGTGTAGAACGGTTTGAACATGACCGCTAAAACCCCACAGTCGTGTAGGAACATATCTGAAAAAAAAAGGAAACGGGAAAAGAAACAAATGTTGAGACCATACATTCATTGTTTGAAAGAGGTGTGTATGCATGAATATTTAAAAAGGATAAAAGGCGAAAAATAGTCTTAAATATTTGGAGCAAGTTGAGTTTAGGGGCTATGCTCGGATCATTTTGAAATTTTTACCGCAGGTAGGTATTTGTAACCTGATTACGGCAATGTAATTTTTTGTGGGGGAAATACCCGGTTACCCGGTTATTCGACCCAAAAGTTCGAATACAACATCCGGTTTGTATCCGGTTCTACGTAACCGATATCAATAAAATGGGTATCATTTGAAAGCTTATGAAAATATCTATCCAACAAGTGGTCATATGACGGGGTAACTGGAACCTGTTTCGGAGAAATTTAGGAAAATTTGCATTTTTGTATGAGTACTTTTTGAAAAACCTATAAAAACTCGAAAATGGACCCATTATAGGGTCTTAAAATCTATACACTATATTACAGCTAACACTATTGCCTTTCCAAAATGGTGTCATATGTGTTGATATCTTTTGTGGTTCCGTGGATATAAGAGATTGAATTCATTAAATTATATTTTTCTCCAGTCTAGATGCATTTGACTTTGACCTTTATAGCTTTTTTAAGCAACCGGCCTTCGGCCGGGGCTTAAGATTTTCTCCTGTGGGGTATGTCCAACACCGGCTACGCGATCCATAGTTTTTCTAAAAATTGTACATTTTGTAAGTAGCCGGCCTTCGGCCGGGGCTTAAGATTTTCTCCTCTAGGGTATTTCCAACACCGGCTACGCGATCCATAGTTTTTCTAAAAATTGTAATTTTTGTAAGTAGCCGGCCTTCGGCCGGGGCTTAAGATTTTCTCCTCTAGGGTATGTCCAACACCAGCTACGCGATCCATAGTTTTTCTAAAAATTGTAATTTTTGTAAGTAGGCGGCCTTCGGCCGGGGCTTAAGATTTTCTACTCTGGGGTATGTCCAACACCGGCTACGCGATCAATAGTTTCCTAAAAACTGTAGTTTTCGAAAGTAGCCGGCCTTCGGCCGGGGCTTAAGATTTTCTCCTCTGGGGTATGTCCAACACCGGCTACGCTATCCATAGTTTTTCTAAAAATTGTAATTTTTGTAAGCAGCCGGCCTTCGGCCGGGGCTTAAGATTTTCTCCTCTGGGATATGTCCAACACCGACTACGCGTTCCATAATATTCTAACAACACCAAATTAAAAACAAAGCAGATTAACAAGAACGTTAAACCCGACACAAAACTTGGGTTCACTCAAACTGCTTTCATAAGTAACGACTTTAAAAGTCAATATCTTCGGAACTACAAAAGATATCAACACATATGACACCATTTTGGAAAGGCAATAGTGTTAGCTATAATATTGTGTATAGATTTTAAGACCCTATAATGGGTCCATTTTCGAGTTTTTATGGGCTTTTCAAAAATTACTCATACAAAAATGCACATTTTCCTAAATTTCTCCGAAACAGGTTCCAGTCATATGACCACTTGTTGGATAGATATTTTCATAAGCTTTCAAATGATACCCATTTTATTGATATCGGTTACGTAGAACCGGATATAAACCGGATGTTGTATCCGAACTTTTGGGTCGAATAACCGGGTAACCGGGTATTTCCCCCACAAAAAAATTATATTGCCGAAATCAGGTTACAAATACCTACCTGCGGTAAAAATTTCAAAATGATCCAAGCATAGCCCCTAAACTCAACTTATGCCAAATATTTTATTACTTTAATAATTTAGGTAACCCAAAAACATTAATGGCAATACATTTTTATAGAGTCGAGCAAAAAAAATCAAAGAGAATTATTACGAAATTATTGAAAAAATCATATGAGAATTTGAAACAGTAAGACTTAAGTTTCATGTCATTTTACTCAAATGTGTTTAAGGTCTGCAGGACTTGTGATATTAGGCTATATAGGTTTACGTTCTGGTATGACCTCCATAAAACTGTACCAACGAGTTTAAGATATTTTGGACACTTCAGTCACAATTCCAAACCGAATTTGATGTTGTTATTGGCAGAATGTGTTCCCATTGTGTAGGAAAAATCCTTGTCTAGAGGTCTCAATATAGGTCTAAGTTTTGGTATAGTCTCCATTCAACTGCACCTCCAGATATTCGGTATTTTGATGATTTCTGCCACACTTTTCACCGGAAATGTTTCAAATTTGGAATTTGAAGTTTCTAATGGGTACTACATGCTATGACAGAAAACTTGTCTATTCAGATCCACGTCTTCCTATAGCCCCACATAATGGTACCCCCTATTTTCGGTAATTTGATGATTTTAGCGACATTATCCACAGGAATTGTTCAAATTAGGTCTTGTAAGTTCGTAATGAGTCCTACAGCCTGTGACCGGAACTTGTTAATGCAAGTCCACGTCTTCGAATAGGTCCCACATAAGTGTAAGTTCGTAACAGCCTGTGACCAAATTTTGTCTATGCTGGTCCATGTCTTCGTATAGGTATCTGTCTATATTCGATATTTTAATGATTTTATTTTATTCACTGGAATTGTTTCAAGTTTCATATTTGAATATCGTAAGGGCCTATGACACAAATTGAATACACAAGTCCACGTCTTCGTATAGGCTCCGATATAAAGGTAACTCACATAATTCAATATTTTTATGATTTTGAGAATTGGATATATCGGTCTTCTCCTTCTCGTACCAATCCCACAAAGGGTCAAAATTTTAAACAACGATGAAGCTCATAAAAAGTGAAATTAACATCCGATTCCATTCAGACTTGGTACATCTCAATATTTCCATCAATACAAGATCTGTTATAAAGATGGCAGAGATCGGACCATTTCTTCTGGTACCTCCCCCACATAGGGTTCAAGATGTCTTTACAACTAAATATTTCTCTCTACCAAAACCTGAGATAAATATGGAATTTTTGATTTCGCATAAAATTTTGCGCATACCAATATTTTTATCTGTATTAGATGAAATAAGAAAATGGAATACTTTTGGCACCTCACGCACATTTTAAAATTTTCTAAAAATTATGACATATCTATATCTATAAAAGAGGAAAATGTTTGTACGTTTGTTTGTTTGTTTGTTTGTTTGTAATTTATGGACTCGAAAACTGCTGAATAGATTTTTCTGAAAATTTCCATATATACTGCAACATCGCCTGAAAGTAACATAGGCTATATACATTTTTGAATTTCCACTTGGAACTGGAGATATAGCATCAGAATCGGAGGAACCTCCCAAAAATTTGGATTTTATATGCACATATCTATTGATCGGTTAAAGATACAGTCTCCAAATTTGGAATGTGTAACGGAATTTGGAACAACAATAAGTTTGCTAAATTATATTGTAATCGGTTCAGATTTGGATATAGCTCCCATATATATTTTCGACCGATTTCGTTCATTTGATGCCTCAAACACAATATGAATGTTCGATTCCAATGAAATTTGGAATGTGTGACGGGATTTAATCCGAAAATAAATTTGTCAAATTATATTGAAATCGGTTCAGATTTGGATATAGCTCCCATATACATTTTCGGCCGATTTCATGTATTTGGTGGACCAAACATGATATGTATGTCCAAATTTAATGAAATTTAAAATAAGTAACGGAATTGGGAGCAAAAATGAATTTTTCAAATTATATTGAAATCGGTTCAGATTTGGATATAGCTCCCATATATATTTTCGACCGATTTCATGTATTTGATGCACCAAACACGCTATGTATCTCTAATTTCAATGAAAATTGAAATGTGTAGCGGAAATTAAAACAAATATACATTTGTCAAATTATATTAAAATCGGTTCAGATTTGGATATAGCTCTCATATATATTTTCGACCGATTTCATGTATTTTATGCACTATTCACGATATGTATGTTCGATTCCAAAGAAATTTGGAATATGTAACGGGATTTTGATTAGAAAATAAATTAGTCAAATTATATTAAAATCGGTTCAGATTTGGATATAGCTCCCATATATATTATCCGCCGATTTCACATATTTGATGCACATTTGACAAATTATATTCAAATACGCTCAGATGTGATTATAGCTCCATATATATACTCAGCCGATTTCACATATTTGATGCACCCAAAGCGAGAGAGACAAAATCTGGCACCAGCAAAAATTGCCAAATTATATTGAAATCAGTTGAGGTTTAGATATAGCTAACATATATATTTCGGCCGATTTCATACATATTATGCACCAAACACGATATATATGACCGATTCCAATGAAATTCAGAATGTGTGGCGGAATTTCGTTATAATAATAAATGTGATAAATTAATTGGAAATTAGTTAAGATTTGGATATAGCTCCCATATATATATTCTCGGCCGATTTCACATATTTGACGCACCAATTTCAATTAAATATGAAAGGTGTGGCGGAGTTTGGTGTAAAAGTAATTTTTTTTTAATTATATTTAAATCGTTATTGGCAGAATGTGTTCCCATTGTGTAGGAAAAATCCTTGTTTAGAGGTCTCAATATAGGTCTAAGTTTTGGTATAGTCTCCATTCAACTGCACCTCCAGATATTCGGTATTTTGATGATTTCTGCCACACTTTTCACCGGAAATGTTTCAAATTTGGAATTTGAAGTTTCTAATGGGTACTACATGCTATGACAGAAAACTTGTCTATTCAGATCCACGTCTTCCTATAGCCCCACATAATGGTACCCCCTATTTTCGGTAATTTGATGATTTTAGCGACATTATCCACAGGAATTGTTCAAATTAGGTCTTGTAAGTTCGTAATGAGTCCTACAGCCTGTGACCGGAACTTGTTAATGCAAGTCCACGTCTTCGAATAGGTCCCACATAAGTGTAAATTCGTAACAGCCTGTGACCAAATTTTGTCTATGCTGGTCCATGTCTTCGTATAGGTATCTGTCTATATTCGATATTTTAATGATTTTATTTTATTCACTGGAATTGTTTCAAG